CCTCCTCCCCAATCACCCATGGCTCCTCCTCAATGGTCCGAGGAAAATATGGAAAGCACTTCTCCATTCCGCCCTCATGTGTCTCGGTCAGCATCACGATTACGGCTGGGCTCTTCAGCTGCTCCACTACCATTCGCCAAACGTGATCTATAGTCCCGGATTTAGGACCTTGCATAGCAATGTAACGGTGCGGCGGCTTAGATTGGGGGTCTAAGGGGGAACGAAGAGTTATGGGCGACGCGTTAATATAATCAAGATGGCCGTCGGGTACCTGTAACCTAACGCGGTTGTTGGCCCATGGTTGGATGTTCGCATATCGGTCGAGAATCTTAGTCTCGGGTGCCGTGACGCGAGCAAACTTGAAGCTCGGGGATGTGTTGTTTGCGGACTCCTGGAGACGAAAGCGCTCTGCCCAGTTGAGCTCGTGGAACTTAGCCTCGATATCTGCAATTAAAGTAGGTCTCGTTAGCATATCAATACTATAAACAGACACACAAGTAAAATGACATTACGCTTTCGGCGTGATATAGACATACCTTGCTGGGACTGGGTTAGGAAAGCCGGAATCCTGGGTTTGGGAGTTTCCTTAATCATCTCCTTTTCACCTTTGTCTTCGATAGCGCTAGCTGGTGTTGATCTGCCGAGTTCGACGGCGCTGTCTTGACTAGCTACGGCGGGCGAAGCGGGCACAGGTAATGTAGCTGGGGTAGGAGATCGGGCGCGCTTGTGCGAATGTCGAAAATGAAATCTTTGACGGAAAGGTGATTTGGATGGAAGATCATTTCGAGCATTGGTGGTGGGAATGGTTAAAGTAGGTAACGATTCACGACGGCCCACAGGATCAAGTTTGCTTTCCGAGGATGATTTGTCGGGAGGGGATCCAGATAATACTCCAGAGGGCGGAGTAGTAGGGGAAGCTTTCTTAGTGCGCCGAAAACGCGAAGAAATAGACTCCATTTTGACTAGATGACCCGTAGAAGAATAGTACAAACCGGTAGCGAGGTCAATGACGAAAGGACGAGAGTGGAGGAGTGAGGGCCACGTAGACCGTGCAGCGGCTGGTCGCGAGAATGAGGGGACCAATGCAAAGGAGGGCTTCCCTGATAGAAATTTAGAAGCGGCGAATGCTAAATTAGAGAGGGAGGGAAAGAGGCGGAGCTTGTCCACAAGCTCCCAGTAATTGGCACGTGGTAATTGACGTGCAATTCCAATGAGGCAAGGCAAGGCGAGACGAGGCAATGCAAGGCTAGGTCAACGTTGTGGAGGGGAAAAAGGGAAAAGCGTCGATGGAGAAAGAAGAAGAAGGTATTTATTAGGTTAACCACTGGTAGGGATTAAAAACAACATTTACCTGTGATCATGGTCAAGTGATAATGTGTAATGAAGCATGAATTTAAAATGATAAGTTGAAAAAAAGAAGTTATGAAGTGAAGAAGAGAAACTGACGTTTATTATTTTTTTTCCTCAGTGTTGCTTCCAAGAATTATTAGCTGGAGAATACCGTCAACCTGGAATTGGAAAGACGGCAAGGATGGGGGAAGCGCAGGGGAAATAAATAAGAATGTGGGTCGTCATTGGCAGGTCTCGGATGGGATGCCAGATGGTTAGGTAGTACAATCGGTACCGCATAACAATGACCATACCGTAAGTACAGACCTACAGACCTAAATAATTGAATGATCTGGAAGTCACGGTCCGTTCACATGTGCCTGGCCAGCTGAGGTGGATTTTTAAGCGGGGATGCACCTAGGGTACAAGCGGTACGTACCTAACGGTGCGCACGGTACACGTACTACAGGTGCAGTAGTTCGCAACAGTCAAGTACCAATATTTCCATGTAATGTACACTAAGTATTTAGTTAATGCAACTAATGAACAATGGGATGACGGGTTAGGATTGCCTCATGAACGTAACGATTCAAGGCTTAGCAGGTCTTTTTGGTCTTTTGGACCTTGGAAGGAACCGAAGCTATCGATACGCCCACACATGAGGCCTATCACGTTTCAGCAAGAATACAAAAAGAGTAACGGATCAGTCTGACAATATTGATAATTATATTTAGCATAGTGTATTTAGGTGCAAATCGTTCCATCCAACTTATGGGATGGAAGCGATGACGTTTTGGGAGAGTTACAGAACGTACTACCTACATAGTAGGTTACGTTGTAGCTACGTAGGTACTTTGATTAAGCACTTTTAAGGTTATTACATACTATCGAAACAAAAAGCTACAAGGCGCTTAACCCTGGACCAAGCTTAGCCCTAACGGCAACAAGCATGAACAGTGAATGGTTTTACCATTCAGCCATTGTCACACGCCCAGTTGTCATATGCCCACTTCTTAAAGTTTTATAAGTGTACAGGTAGATATATACTAAAATAAAAATGACCATCACACGCCAGTATTATTAGAGCAGTGGTTAATAATGAGGAGCTAAGCCTGGATCTTTCTTTTTTTTTAAAAAAAAACTTACCTAAATAGAAGCCACCGAATGTTTGCTACATGGTGTTACCATCCATCTTTATCAAGCTGTTTGGAAACCTCTGATAAAGTTTCTAATGGTTACTAACCAAGCAATAGTCGTCGTACTTGAAGGATGCCTTACGGAAGCACCACGAATAAAATTAGAATGTGATTCGTACGATTTGTATTACTAGTTCGAAATACTGGTAGAGAGAGGACAATACGTAGCGCAAGCACCTAGTATTAACTCTGAGCACCTCTCAAAATACCTATATAACCTAGTAGGTCCCTACCCGAAGGTACACCCAAATTGTTTCCCTAGAACAACAGCGGAAACTCACAAAGCATTTGTATACTTCGACTTGAGTTCTATTCGTTCTTTCGCCTTCCTTTATCCACTTATTAATATACACCTACAGTTCGAACAAACACGAAACCTATTTGACTAAATTAATAGATCATGACATGTCTTATTTTAGCAGTTCCTTCTAGCAAGCTGTCATATTTCACTGTATAAGAGGGCCTTTTGACCCCGTCGAAAAAAAAATCCATGAGTAGCGAATCAACTGTCTTAGAGGTGAGGACAGGTATCATTACCCGTTTTCCAGGTCCTAGGGTTAGTCGATAGATACACGCAACTGCCGATGGATTGTGCTCGAAAGGAATGTAGAAGAAGGCTCCTAGCTGGACAGTAGCGTGTTTGATATTAGTACCGAGTTGCCCGTCTTAAAGTATTCAGGGGTGAGATTGAGTTCAGCGTAAGCCTGTGCAGTTGTCTAGATATCTAGAACAAAGGATGCTTTCGGTACACACGGCCATTAGCTCTCGTAAATATGTCAGAGTTCCTCGCGGAACAACGGGTTTGTTTCTAATGCCTTTAGTGTTACCTCGCAACACGTATCTCCCGCGAGGCTATTGGCAAACGTGATATTTCGAGGACACGCCACAAGCACGACAGCATCACCTCCTCAGAACGTGCTGTGTAAGGAAATTTTCCTGATAAAGTGACATGGGTTTAGGTATATTTAGACTTTGGGTGATTCTGCGAAAATCTAAGTGTCTGCTATGCGTTTATAAGGGAGGTAACTTGTGCGAAACAGAAGGTCAGGTTTTCTTTTTTCAAGATGTATATATGCCCATATACACCTGTTTAGAAGTAGGATGAGAAGTAGATGAGGCAAGTAGTTTCAAATAAGGTAATACCACACAAGGGATACCTGGGAAATTTCTTCTGATATGAAACCTGTCGATGAGCGAAACAAGAGTGAATATACTACTACGATATGTCAAGAAAAACACTTATAACTGCGCGTTCGGCCAATGAGGCCTCATTGTGGGTGGATCATAAACAGGTACAGTAGCCGCAGTGATGCACTACTTTGTTCGTCGAATTTGCTTCTATATGATATACCCCTATCTGCATCTACATCATTTCCATCGGCCCCTTTTGAGTCAGACAATAGTGGCAAGTTGTATTTACTCTGGCTCAGAAAACCCATAGAAAGGAGATATCTATCCACATAGGTTACGCTCCGTCACTATTTACTTACGTTCAGCTAAAACGATAACATGAGACTTTGTGCGCAGGTAGGGCTCCGTGCAGAACTATATAAACCCTTAGATCGACTCTATTTTAAGCCCTCCAGCATCTAGACGACCTTTTTACTTCACACACAAACCAGATTTTCCCACTCAATCACTACAATCACTAGAACGACGGCCTCAATATGTCTTCTAACGATAACGGTTCTGATAGCGACCTAGAAGCCGCGATAAAATACCTGATCACAAGAAGCCCGACACCAAAAGGCGCAAAGACAGGCGACAGTTCTGGCAGCAGCACAGAGGACGACTCTAGCAATACGGAAGACCAGCATAGCAGCGCCGAGGACCAGTCTCAACACGACGGTTCTAAAACTGTGAGGTGGGCTGAGCCAGTCGCAACACAAATTCCGAACTCTGCCGTCGAAGATTCCGCTTCGAAGTCAAAATAAGCGGATGTAGCGAGAGATATGTTAGGCCATATAACGACATTGATGGATCCTATAGTAGCATACCCGAATTGTTATATGTACAATAGGTACCTAGCTTCGTCGTGTTAGTTTTACCTTTCAGGAGAAACCCCAAGAAGACTTGTGCTAACTAGGCACTTTTACTTCAGATAGCTACATATTTCACAATGCGGGCCCCTGTCAACTGTCGAACGAATATTTTGTCTCTATTGTATTGTCCAATTTACGGGTGCATCATACTCCATCCATTGTATCTCAAAATATTGAATGTTTTACCTTAGTTACGTATCTGGTATGTTTCGAGATGTAGCAGTCCAGGTGGGCAACTGAATCGGTAGCTGGTGTCTATATGGGTCGAGTGTAAATTTCCTTTGGGTAATTTGATTTTGGTCTTCCGACTCCCGCGGCGATTCATGTTCTGGTGTAGATAGATAGGCCCAGGTTCTATAGTTCAGGTAGATTACGCACCCAGAACGCGCAATTAGTATAATAGTGAAACTTGGAATGGAATTTTTCAACAACTGGTCCCATAGCTCAGTTGGTTAGAGCGTCGTACTAATATCATTGCATCCGCGATCATATCTAGTTCATGCGAAGGCCGGCGGTTCGAGCCCGCCTGGGACCAAAAAATTTATTTTTGTGCGGTAGGAATTGACCAAATAATGCCGCATATAATTTTTGGTGGTCTCGGCTAGGTACTTAGGTACTTAGGTCGGTTTAGGCTGGTACCAGCTTACCTAAGTTAGTGAGTTAGTACCTACTAAGGTACCTACATTTCAAGTTGGCCCTGAACTTTATTTTATTTTTTACTTTCGAGTTTTTCTATTTTAACTCTTAACCAAAAAGGTACTTCCATCACAGACAACGTGGAGAATATGTAGTAACTAAGTATACAACTAAGTATACTCTGTTATTTGAATGGCAGCATCTCCATTAGCGGACACTCCAATGTCAAAGGATGCCAAATCCTTCCGGAAGCGTGATAAGTAGAATCCTAGGTCCGGGGTATCGATGTGATATTACTGCTAGGAACTAATCTGGGCAAGATATCGGAGGATATATCTTTCCGACCTGGCTATATTCGGCTTCATCGGCGTGCCCCATCGCATTGATTTTACGATCACATTCAACGAATGAGGTCGGTGATCTTCGGTATTGGCATGTATTATTACATGGTTGTTTCTTAGGGGCAGACAGATAATTGGAGTAGTTAGATATATTTAGTATAACTATAGCATTAGTAAAAACTAGTAGGAATCAGTTGGAGATGCAATATAAATACGAGAGAGTTCAGACAGTTACTTCTATATGTTAGTCTATCACAGACAGAATTATTCGCAAGGACCTTAGAACGCAGTGTCTAAACTAAGTAATACAGTTAGTTGTCTTAGAACTTTTGCAATATGCCCAAGCCTACTATATTAATCGTCGGTGGCTCGTTCGCGCCGCCCGATGTATACGACAATATCATCGATGCCATAAAGGCAAAGGGCTATGATATCAGGGCCTTGCACTACCCGAGTGTTGGTTTAAGAGCTGGGCCAAAGCCAGAAAAGCTGCCGACCATGTATGACGATGCTGCTTTCGTTGCCAATGAGGTATCCAAACTCGCCGATGAGGGGAAAGAAGGTGAGAATTATGATAGAGAACCTACCTAACCTGAGCCTTGGCTTGTACATCTAGCTTGGGGTTATCAAGGGACAAATGCTGACGCTGAGAGCTGTGTATCTAGTCATACTAGTCCCCCATTCTTATGGAGGCATACCAGCCACAGAGAGTACCAAAGGACTCACGAAGAAGGAGAGACAAAGTCAGGGGAAAGCTGGCGGAATTATCAGGCTTGCATACATGACATCGCTAGTGCCGCCCGTGGGAAGCTCTGCTCAGAGTCTTTTGGGACAGATACCTGGCGAAAACCGGATTGAGTTTAAAATTGATGTTGGTCTCTCTCCCTCTTCCATCCCCTTAATAATGCTTCGCTGCTATTTGTTCATCTACCGTCTAACAACCTCATAATAGGAGCAAGGTTGGATGGATTATGTCGACCTACCCTCTGCTGCCACATTGATAGTCTCAGACCTTCCCGACGCAAAAGAAAGAGAAGAATTGGTCAAGAGGTTCCAAACTCACTCGTCTGCTAGTTTTGCTACCGAGTTGACCCACGCCGGCTACAAGGATGTCCCAGTATCGTACTTGCTTTGCGGGGAGGATGCTATTCTTCCTCCCAAGTTTCAGAGAGATTGGATCGAGCTGATTGAGAAGGAGAGTGGAAACAAGGTTGATGTGACATCTCTGCCCGTTGGTCACTGTCCCAGTTACACCAAGCCACAAGAAGTGATTGATTGGATTGTGAAGGCAGCAGAAAAGGAGGAAAACTAGCAGGTATTACGAGTAGTGGTGGCTCACATTTTCTATTATTCAACGAATCTACATATTTTGTTTCTGCAATTATTTACATATATCACCTCGAGATTCTCGTCACCGTGGCCGAAATTAACATAACTAGGTCAAAGTCAATATCACAGAAATAAGCAGAAAAGGGGCAGGGGTAAAGTACGCACGTCTGAGGATGAGGCAAGCTACTCGTGGATTGCAACAAGTCGCGCGCCGTGTTTCCAAATTCTGCAGCACGATGCCTACGTGTAAGTCATATAATTAACTATTCAGTATGGGATATGCCCACTGTCGACTAGCACTGAAGAAACAAGCGACGTCAGCTAAGCTCCACGCTATCTCAAGGCACCAGGATAATGACAAATACCGCGCAACCCATGCTTAACCTAACCAAAAGAAATATCGATAGCATGGTACAGGGGACTAAACTTCAAGAGTTCAGGGGTAATAGATCTTATGGTCTACCTGCCCAGTTCTTATAATCGGAATGCGATATCTCACGACTAAAATACAGATCGCCCTATATAAACGACGTACTTAGAAGTATATTCAAAGAATGGCCTCTGAGGGATAGCTAGTTGTCGATCTAGGTCTGATACCTTATATCTGACTAAGACGCTATTATTCTAGGCAGTGCATACATGCCTATTATTGCTATTATTCCCGTCCCGTCCCATCCCACATGTCGAGGCATAAATAACTATTTGTCATTGTGTATCAATACACAGGTAAATACATATAAGGTATATGTGAGCAGAGCTAAGCGCGTACGTTCATAGCCACCTGGTCTTAAGTATACTGTGTTACCCAGAAAGAGTCGGTAGGGAGTTGACAAATACTTAACTCGATGAATTCATAGGCAACTTTGGAACATATTGATACTTAAAGGGGACATATAGTAGATTATAGATGCAACCAAATATAAATAGCCGTCCTTTGTTCATTATGTACTATACCCATCTTCACGCCACTAAGTTGATACTTCCTTAGATCTCTTACTCCGAGAATCTCTGAATATATCCAAAAATTGGCTCTTTCTGCTTGCCAACCGTAACTATCCCTCCAATATGGCCGACTTGATTGCGGATTACGTTGTTGCAGGCGGTGGGCTCACTGGATGTGTTGTAGCCTCACGTCTCAGTCAGGACGGGAAGGATGTCATTCTGCTCGAAGCAGGATCCGATGCAACTAATGACCCGGCTGCCCAATTCTTCTTAAGCGGTTCATCTCTCCAAGGTGGCGAGCTTGACTACGCTTATCCCAGTGAGCCTGTCCCTACTACAGCTAATCGTGTGCATAACCTCAGTGCCGGTAAGGCTCTGGGTGGAGGGACAGTTATCAACTTCGGCGGTTGGCTTCGAGGAGATGCTGCGGACTACGACGAGTGGGCTGAAGTGGCCGGAGACAAGCGCTGGAGCTACGAAGGCCTTAAGCCTTGGTTCGTGAAGTCGGAGAACTTCTACGACACTAGTGCAGACCCTCAAGAGCACGGCTTCGACGGGCCAGTGTACGTTACTTCTGTCTCCGCCGTCGAAAAGGGACAACGGAAATACCCTCTTCGAGAAACTGTTAAGAAGGCATGGGCCGAGCTTGGGGTTGCCCACAACATAGATAGGAAGAATGGTGCCAGTGTCGGCCTGAACGAAATGCACGAGAATTGTACCAAAAACGGTACGCGACAACCGGCCAACGTTGTGTATCCACTCGACCACGCCAAGGTCCTTACCAACACCCCTGTGCATAGAATCATCTTTGATGACACCAAAAAGGCCACCGGTGTGGAACTGGTTGATGGCCGCAAAGTTGCTGCGCGGAAGCAGGTCATCGTCTCTGCTGGCTCTTATCAAACTCCTAAAATTCTCATGCTCTCAGGTGTCGGCCCATCAGCCGACCTCGCCCAACACGGCATTCCTCTAGTCCACGAATCTCCGCACGTCGGTCAAAATCTCCATGACCACTATGCTATCCATCTCGCCTATCGTCTGCGCGACCCTTCGCTTGGGTACGCTTTCGGAAGCGGTGGTTTTCAAAACCCTGCGTTTCTTAAGGGGCTCCCGTGGGACTGGATTGCTAACCAGCCCCTCCCGGAGGAAATCCTCTCCAAGAACCGGCATGAGATTAAACCAGGCTGGAAGAAGCGAAATGTCTACGAGGTCCTTACTGCTTATGTTGTGCCAGGTATTCCTGGTGTTCCCATCGATGGCAGTCATATCTCCACTTCAACAATGCTGCTGCTTCCAACATCCCGTGGTAAAGTCACGATTCGATCTAACTCGCCCACGGACCTCCCTTCTGTACAACCGAGTTATCTCTCAACGCAGCTAGATCGCGATACTCTTGCCCATGCTGTTCGAACGACCATAAAGGCCCTAACGGCAACTGAGAGTCTGAAACCCATCGTCGAGGGTGAATCACCACCTGTTAAAGAAGGTCTGGAAGGGTTAACTCCGCTTGCCGTTGATACAAGTGACGAAGTGATATTGGAAAGACTGCAACTGACTGGAGAGCAACACCAACATTCCGGCGGTACTGCGGCTATGGGTACGGTGGTCGACGGGGAAGGCAAAATTTTAGGGGTCAACGGACTTAGGATTGTCGACGCAAGTATCATCCCAGTACCCCTTGGCGGACATCCACAAGCTACGCTATATGCCATGGCTGAGCAACTGGCCAGTATGATTCTCACTGAGTCTTGACATGAAAGAATCCAGGTTGACTAAAGACGCTTGTAAGGATTAGCTTCGTTCTTCCAGGTCTGCTTTTTAGCTATTCGTCTGTTCATACGTACTCTACTAGCAACACCAATAAAATGTTACCGCTTTGTATGGAGCAGAAATCATTATGTGCTGTAGTTAAACGCTTCCAAGTCGCCTTGTTACTGCGATAATATAATCTTCTACAACATAGTACAGAGTTGGTAGTATTACTCACCAGGAGTAGTTACTAAGTCAGCCTCAAATTCTTTGTGAAGACCCTCTTCGATGAGCTGTGAATATTGGCGTTATTCCAATCTTTTACCAGTAGTGTAAGCTGATTTTCTTCATGCGAATCGGCCAGGCAAGTCGATGTGTAGGTGGATTACGTGGGTATTGTTCGTAGAATGGCGTAGTTAACTTGACTGAAGTTGCCACAAAGTAGCAGCCTAATTTTTATCAGATATTTGAACTGGAATCTATCGTCACGTAAACAGATTGCTACAAAAATATATCGACATATCTGTATAAACTTTAT